CACGCTGGGGGCGGGGCGACGCCATTTGAGGGGAAAACTCTTTGTTTTCCCCTCAAATGGCGTCGCCCCGCCCCCAGCGTGTGACATCACTTCCGCGTGACGCACGCGCGGGGGTGGGGTTTTCCCCGGGCCCCGATTCCACAAGAGCGGGAATCGGGGCTTGAAACCGGGGGGGAATTCTGCCCCCCAGGGGGATTTGGGACCCCTAGGTTGAAGGCCCATTCTTCAACATGTAGGATGATGTTCCACTGAATTCAACGGGACTTGCTTTAGCATACAATACTGTCAATTTTGAACACATCGTAAATAATCCGGCTCTGCATATAATATATGTATTTTTCATTCTGCCCAGCGCAATAACTTTGTGTAGCTCAGAGATTTACCAATATAATCTGGATGAATACAGTTTGTCATATTTCCTGTATCTATATTTTCTTTAAATAATTGATTTTGGAACTCTAAGACTGCAAAGAGCTGCTTCTTTTTTCAGAAGCAAACCTCAGATGAGTCCAGGTTTAAGGAGTAGTTGCAGACAGGACAGCTACCTGGACTTTATCAAATTCAGATGACAAAACATGTCATGTCGGGCATAGGGCTGTGCTTTATATTCTCCTGTTAGGATTTTGGGGTTATATTTTTGCATGTGCAGGAATATTTCTTTGGTGAAAAATCCCTTCATTACTAGACTGATGCTCACCATTTTGTGATCCTGTTTCCCCCTTCACAGCTGCTTTGGTGTTACTTTTTTTCTTCAAAATACCACATCTTCCTGGATGAGTTTCACAGGCAATTGCAGTCTAACAGCGATCACATAGAGAACAGGATTACATCATGACAGTATCAGATTTGGCTTTGCAGCAATGTCACCGAGTGCTTTCAGTGAAGCCCATTTAGAGTGAGAGTAATGCTTCCTCCGCAGGCAAAATGCTTTGGAACATTTTTGAAGCAATTGCTAATTTTATACAGGCTTCCATTGCCCTCAGTAAGTTTTTGTTAAATTCTATGAAACTGAAAACTTCCCTTTGAAAATCTGTCCCATTTTTAAATCGGTGGATCAGAATTTGATTCCGTGGTCTCGAATGTTTTGCTTATCAAACTGCAAACAGTTTTAAAGTTTGACTGAGCCTTTTAGACTGTGTGTAGCTGTCATTCGTATCAAAGGATTTTTATGCTAAATAGAACGTAGGGAATTGTAGCTCGTAAATTTTACAGCCTGAGAATACAGCAGACAGGAAGACTCTTGTCCACTAGAGCTTTTGTTCCTGTCCGATTGAAATCCAACTCAGGGTTTGGGGACATCTTCAGACAAGATCTGAAGATCATCTTTTGCGGAGTAATGGTATGCAGATGGGGAGCCAGCAATGATTAATTCTGTAGATCAGTCCTGCACCTCCATTTCTGTCAGCTGTGCAGGCAGGAACATGACCTTCAGATGGCATGTTATGTCCCCAGGGCTATGGTAGAGAATGTAGCAGTATTTAATAAACTCCTGGAATGTTATTACACATCAGTACAAGATCAGATGGTGTCATTCAAGTTTTCCATCCACTGGCTTGCAGCTTAGAAACCTGACCCTCAGCAAGGTGGATGTTTGTGGATGTTGCCTGGGGATTTTCCCAAAAGGGAAATGTGTAACATTAGAGGGATGTTTAATGTTAAAAAATGAGATCCTTCAGTGATAGAAACAAAAAGAATTTAAAACTAATTGTCCATGCCTCTTAAAATGTTTCATCAAAAGGCACAGTTATAAGGTGAAAAGGTGACTGCTGCCTATTCAATTAATACACCACTATTTGATATCCGTGTGTCTTTTTATAGTGGTTCAGATAACTGGCTTCTCTCCTGTTCTCTGCACTGAGGTATAAACACATATTTTCCTTTTTCTTAAGGGCAGCATCTTGGTATGGTTGACAGGAGTACCATTTATGTGTTACAAAGGAGCAAACCCATAACATTTAAATAGCGACTTACATTTTTTAGTATTGCCTGAACTTCATAGATGTCTGTGGGATAGTTGAGAACCTTGAGATTAAATTGAAAACATTGCTTTTGCCAAGTAACTGGAACTAGTTTTGAGGTTTAGGAGGTCATTGCTAGAGGCTAGTGGATTTAAAATATATTGTTGTACTTAGGGCTTGGTAGTAAAGAAGTCTGGCCAGAAATGAGAGAAGAAAATACCATCAAGTTCTGTACGCAATTCTTTGGACAGCAGCTTACTGATTTCAGATAAGCTTATTTCAGAATAAATATATTTGGGTTTGTGGTTTACAACTTAATATCTGGAAATAGTTGAAGTAAATAGAGCTTGCTTGGGAGTTTCTGGCAAATGTTTTGAACTTGGGGCTCTGCTTCTAAACTTGTGCTGTCTTCTGGAACCTTCTGTCCATCCCCCCATACCTGTCTCTGAGTGTGCAAGTGCTGACTCTGGCAGATGATGAAGGGAGGAGAGTGGGGTCCCCAGGACTGTTCTGGGCTAGAAAAATAGCATAGGGAAGGAGGTGCAACTCCCCTTCAGTCCTTGCTCCACAGTCCTGATTCAAGTTGGGCCCACACGTACCTAGGAAACTGAGCTCCAAGAACATTTCTGTCACCTGATCCAGAGACGTACTCAGCAGAATCATATGTGGTTAGGCCCACGATGACAGAACAACTCAGTTGTAATCTTTTGTTTAGGCATTTAATAGATGGTGGTGATGTAGTCTAGGAGTATTGCTATAATATAAAAGCAAACCCATTTCCGCCAGTGAGCCTGCAGGAGGGGGGCTGATTCTTGATTACTACCATTATAATTCTCCTTTTTATCTCTTTTGTTGTTTTGGGGGAAAAAAATCTTCTTTAAAAGGGAGTTCAGTTTATGAGCTTTTCTTACTCTTCCCAACACATTTGAGTCTCGCTCTGATGTACTTTGTAAAGCTTTCCCTGAATCATTAGCTTGTGCTGCCTCATTTGGATAATTTTGTTTTACTAAACTTTTACCTACTTGTGTATTTATATTTTTAGTAGTAGTTTGGCTCCACATATGATTGAATGGTTTTCTATTGCTTTTATTGCACTGGTTTCTTTCTACCTTTGTAACCCACTTTCTGCATTAGGCTGTGTTCTCCCTTACACAGTTTTTGTTTGTTTGCTCCCCCCCCCCATTCTGTAATCCTAGTCCTGTGACATTGTTTGTTGGATCTCTTGTGCTGTCTGATCAAATTGTTTTCTATATTTTGTAATCTGCCTTGAGTTTTGGTTAGCCAGGCAGGCCATAACTGAAGTTAAATTAATAAATGTAGGACTTCAGGATAATTTTAGGATAACTGCAAGACAGCTCCTTATTCGTCTCAGTGGGGCTGGGGTTGTGGGAATGTCTAGAGATCTCTGAAAACAGGAACAATACGCCCTCATGGAGGAGGAGATTGGATTTATACCCCGCCCTTCACTACCCAAAGGTGTCTCAGAGCGGCTTACAAACTCCTTTCCCTTCCCCTCCCCACAACAGACACCCTGTGAGGTGGGTGGGGCTGAGAGAACTATTGACAGAAACTGCTCTTTTTCAAGAACAGCTGTGCCAGAGTTATGGCTTGCCCAAGGTCATCCAGCCAGGTGCAAGTGGAGGAGTGGGGAATCAAACCCGGTTCTCCCAGATTAGAGTCCGTGCACTTAACCACTACACCAAACTGGCTCATGCTTCTGTAAGCAAGTCTGTTTCAAAGTTATTGGGATTCTGGGCATATGAAGAATATTATGAAGAATAGTTCTGTTATTGGAAGGGCTGTAGCCTTTTCAAGGTGAACAAGTCCTCAGACAGTACTATAGACTACAGCTTGTTTTGATCAATGACATTTTAAATGTACTGTGTCTGGTAGCTAACTGTGAAGGAATAAGTGATTTTTTTTTAAATTCAGTAAAAATGTTGTTGCCAAAAACGTCTTGCTCTGTACGTGAAATCATCTGACTTGAAATTAAACTTTGAATTCAGATTCCAGTTTAGCAGAGGCATTAGGATACATTTGAAGTTTGGTAACAATTCTGTATTTAATTTAAAAGCCACAAGACCTTTTACTTATTAAGCTCCCCCCCTTTAAATGTAGCTATAGCCTGCAAACAATTATATGAATTTATTTATTTATTTATATGATTTATATCCTGTCCTCCCCGCCAGAGCAGTCTCAGGGCGGCTTACATAAAAAGTTAAAAACACATAAAACAACACAATTATAAAACAGCATAATTAATCCAGAACACTAGTTGCTTGGTGGCACACAACACGGAAAATGCAACCCGTTGTACAAGACGTTGTTTTAGCGATACTGTTCAGTTACAGTGTCCTGCTTCAGAGCAGAGGCATGGTAACTTTCATCTAATAGTACTTCCGTATTATAGGCGCAGATCTTGCGTGCCCTCAATTCAGTTTTCATATTTCTGAGAATCCAGCTATTAGGGAAGCCAGTTAAACTCAAAACACAAATCCAAGGACGGACAAATCATAGTAGAATTACATAGGGTGATTATCTGTTATAAAAATACAAACAAACCTGTGCTGTGTGTGTATCTCTTCTCCCTCTTTGTATTTTGGCATGTGAGAAGCCATTCTTTAAAAAGTAGCAAGGACGTGTCTCTACTGTAATTTTAATTTTGGCAGATCATGTTTTCCAGGTGCAACACTGCAGGTGCCTGTATGGGAAATAAAATACAGTGGCACTTGTAGCATGTAAACGATAGCTTTCATTTTATCCCCCCAAAGCAACAATATAGATAATAAAGATCAACACCTCTGTTTTCGTGCCAATCCATCTTTAGTGCATTTTTAAACACTTCATTGGTTGAACAGATTCCTAAAGTTGATGTAGTTTTAAGGCATTGCCATTTTGTTGAAAAGCTACTTCAGAGTGCTTTGAGTAATACATATTATAATTTGAAATCTAATGTTGTATAAACCGTTGCTCTGGTTACAAAATATTGTGAAAAATGTTAAGGACGGATGGTTCGTTGATTTTGTCTTTCCCCCCCTTCAGGCTTGGCAGCTCAGATTCAGCCATCTTGTGGGTTACGGTGCCAAGTATTATTCCTACCTCATGTCTAGGGCTGTGGCATCCATGGTGTGGAGACAGTGTTTTGTGCAGGATCCCTTTAACAGGTACAAAAATAGAAAGCAAGGTATTGTGCAATTTTTTTCAAAGTAAGGATATATACTGTGAAGTGTTCCTGCCTCATCTTTCACCCATGATAGTATTTCCTTCAGATGAGAGGTAAAAATAACAAAACAGCAACTCTTTATGGTGTGTGGATGCAAAGAAGGTGGGAAGGTAGAAGTGGTTCATTTGGTAAAGTCACAAATGCATGCTTCCTCCGCCTTACTACCTGTGTGTGTGAGAAGGTGAGTGTTCAGAAGATGACAGCTTTGGAGCCCAGAGGGTGAGTGCCTGCGGGGGGCCCTTCCAGTAGTCATGTCTTCTGAGGCATGAATGGGGCAGGGTGTTCTTGTCGGAAGGACTGCAGTGTCTTCAGTCTGCAATTGTTGGGTTGACTTCAGTGTGTGCCATCTCTTTACTTGCTGTGATGAGCGGTTGTGTTTGTACTGGCTGCCATCTTGAAATACTTGAAGTGGGATGGGAAGCAGGGGTGGTGGAGAGCTCTGGAGTAGAAGGCAGTGGTAGAACCAGAGGGATAACTTTTTTCTGCTTCACTGTCACTGATTCAAAATCCCTGATGATGACAGGGCTTCATATTGTTTCCTGGTGGTGGAAAGTGCCATCAAGTCTCGGCTGATTTATGGTGACCCCACAGGGTTTTCAAGGCAAGAGGTGAACAGATGTGGCTTTCCATTGCTTGCTTCTGCGTAGTGTCCCTGGACTTCCTTGGTGGTCTCCTATCCAAGTACTAACCAAGGCTGTCCCTTCTTAGCTTCTGAGCTCTGACAAGGTCAGGCTAGCCTGGGCTAGATCAGGGCATTTCCTCCTACTAGGGTGTTCCCCCCCCCTCTCGAAACACAAGGGCTTGTTGCAAGCCTGACTGGTCATTTTTAGAATAGTCTTTTTATTCTGTAACTGGGCAGCTTCACCCATTACCACAATGCTATGACCACAAAAGCTGCACGGGATGAAGGGCCCCACTGCAGTAAACTGTTAACATCACCGGGGACTCTCTGGAGCGGAGCTGGCAACCTCCCGGCCTGCAATGACTTGCAACTATGAAGAGGGAAATGGCTTTGGTTAGGTTTTTTAAATGCTACAGTGGGGATTCGAGTTAATATTTTTATGCTGTTGTTTTATAGACCCACTCAGCTGCTAGATCATTATTTTAATTCTTATGCTGCTGTTTTGATTTTTTTAAATCAGTATTGATATGAGGGTATCTGGAGTTCTGTGGGAGCTTTTTTTTTAGATAGAAGGACCAAATTTGCAGTATAGCTGCTGGTGCTCTCCTCGAACCCGCCTCCCAAGTTTAAAAAAGATTGGACCAGGGAGTCCAATTCTGTGGGCCCAAGAAGAAAGTGCCCCCATCCTCCATTGTTTCCAATGGAGGATGGGAAAGGCATTTAAAGGGACTGTGTTGTGGCTGAACTCCGAAGGCATTTAAAGGGCTCACAATCCCTTTAAATGCCTTCTCTAAGCCACAGCTTCATCCAGAAGGGGTTTAAAGGGGCTGTAATCCCTTTAAACACCCTTTAACACCAGCTATCTGGCAGCCCTGAAAAACTCCAAATATTTTCAGGATTTGGGGGGCTTGGCCATATCAGATAGCCAGATAAATACCCTGGCTGATATTCGGCTGAAAAAAATACCCGAAAAATACTAGTAAGGTTTTATCGGGGGGGGGGGGTTCCTAGCTCGGATAAACTGAACACACACCTCTGTGCAATACAAAAGCCTCTTTTCCTGCTATGACAGCTGGAAGGGGGAGTAGAAAGAACCCTTGCCTGACTGCAGCATATGTTGTTTTCCGAACTCGTTGGAATGGGATTCCCTGACTTACCCTTGACATAAGGTGGAAGAGGAGACTTTACAGCTGCCTGGATGCCGAACTGCTTACAGCGGCAATCACTGGCTTCTTTTAATCCTATTAACTCATCCCAGGATTTGTCTAGGAAAAGAATTGCTGTCCCTTACAAAAGTGAATAACATCCTGTGACTATTGGCATATTGGAACTGGCCCAAGACATTGCATTCTTTTCTCCACTGCCTACTTTAGTGTACAAAAGGTATTTTAATCCTGAAATATGTGTGTTATAATTTTGTAAACAATAACATAAGCATGCTGTACCTTTTCTGTATAGCACAAGAAAATTGTATTATGTTGGGGGGGGAGTTTTGTTGCTTTTGTTTTGTTTTGCTTTTTGTAAAACCACTGGCAAAGGAGGAATCCTTTTGTCCTTGGATTTCATCCCCATCCTGTCAAGCTCACCTTGGTGGTGCATACATTAATCAATGGTGTGCTTCTTCTGGAATGGGCACATGGATTTAAACTGGGTCTTTGTCTTTGTGACTTGTACTTGGAAGCTGGAGGCAGGTCTGACAGGAAGCCGAACTGGTTGTGTTTGCAGGTGACTCTAATGATAACCATATCCTTCTCTTCCTTCAGGGCAATGGGTGAACGTTATCGCAGAGAGATGCTGGCACATGGTGGTGGAAAGGAGCCCATGCTCATGGTTCAAGGTAATATAAATATTATTGTTATGTTTTCTTCTCTCTGGCTGGGTTTCCCCCAATACAGTTTTGGACAAAAATGTCTGGTTGTATTTCAGCAGTATTACACACTTCTCATTGTGTCTTTTAACTTACATTTTAGATAATATTTACTTAAGGGGTGTTCTGAGATACAGACAACCGGTTCTTAACATGGTTGGACTACCCTCTGCAGAGGGACTCATTTGGCACATTCTCTGTTATAATTCAGAGGACAAATGCAGAGAGTTTTGTTTAGCCAGGTCTTTGTCTGATGAGCGTGCAGTGTATTCTGCTGCCACACTGTTCTTTTGCCATTATTGCTTTTTAATTGTCATTCTGGATTTTATCTTTTTGTATGTTGCCTGGAGTGCATTTGGGGAATAAAGGCATGATAGAACTACCTATATTTGCCCTTGTTTTGGATTTCCTGCGTTGAGCAGGGAGTTGGACTAGATGACCTGTGAAAGCCCTTCCAACTCTGTGATTCTGTGAAATGTAATAAACTCTCATGACCAGCAGTCCTTCTGAACAAAACAATAGATGCCACAGTCTACTTCCAAGTCCTGCATTTGTGTCTTCATTCCCCTTGTTCGCACATACTCAGGACTGCCACCTGGCCTGGAGATAAGTATTGTTTCCCTTTGATAGAAGTTTAAGGTTGAGGTTATTTACCAGGTGATGTTATTTACCTCCATGCCATGAAAGCTTCAGCTATCCATTTCTACACACTAAGCCTCTGGTAAAAGGGCAGGGCATTCTTCTGCAGGCCAGTTGGCAACCAGGCACACACCAGAACTCAGAATCTTGATCTCTCCCACCCACTTTGTGTCCCAGTGTGCAAATCCCGGAAGAATGCCACTGTGTCTGCTCTGCTTCTTTCCACTTTATGGCAGTAACCAGGACTGCCATAAATCTAGTCATGACTGCCGGCTCTTTCTCCTTACCTCCTCAGTGGACATTTGAAGGTGTGTTTGTGTAGGGTGGAGAGAGGTGAAATATGCTTGAAAACTACAATTAAAAATTGTCGAGGAGGGAAAATGTCTGTCTACTTGAAGGGGAAACTGAAGGTAGAAGCCGGCCCCTCATTGCTCTTGAATATTTTCATACTTGAAATGTTATTTATTAGCTCTAACCAGATGTTACACTTACTGAATAGTCCCTTAGAGATCATATAGTACTTCACATGATCAAAGAGCTTTTGTCAACGTTGTTTTAGCCCTTGCTGTAAGCAGCAACACTTGCTAACTTAGTAGAGTGCACTAACGAAGCCAAAACAATTATGAAGTTTCAAAGGAAGGAGAGGGCAGCCACATCATTTGCAGTGTTCCAGTTGCAGATGGTTGAAGGCTGGGGGCAGCCATTTCCAGAAAGGGTGCGGTTAGCCCCAGTGTTGTAATGTGGAAGGTGTAGGACTTCAAAGGAGGTAAGCACTGCAGTTGCCCTAGGCTTGGGAGAGACAGAGCTGCAATCGGAGCCAGGCTAGGCTTATAAAATAAATTCACAGTTTTGAAGACAGCAGCCGTCTTGGTTAGCTCTGTCTTGGAGCTCAGTGCTGGGGCTCCTGTAATATCACAGGCTTTCAACATTACAGTCCACAAGGGACCATTTTCGTTATTGTAGACATTCGAACCATGGGTCTCAAACAGTGGGAATGTTGCCTTGGAGGGTGTGAACTTCTTTGTTTGTTTGTTTTTTGGTCTGGTGGAGATTGTGGATTCAATACAACCTCAGTCTTTGCTTTAAAGAACTCCCCAGCCCTGTGGTTGCAGACAAGTTTTACAAATGTGGTTACACTGTGTGTGTTCTTTCTCCGCTTTCATTGTTTCTCTGTGGAGACAGTGGTGGGATGTTCTCAGAGCACAAATTCCAGGTTCTGGAATGGCTGTAGGAATGAAGCAGAATAACAGAGCTTTGTGTGGTTAGAAGGTGGATTGAGAATGAGGAGGAGGCGGCACTCCACTGAGACAGAAGATGCAGCCCTTGATATCCAGTACCTTTTATCACCATGTTGGAAATGTCAGTGTAGTTTCCATAGCTGGCGGTTGGCTTTGAACCTGAGAAGCCTCCTTTGAAGTCCATTCCAGTGGCCTCATTGGCTCCCAGTCCCTTTACTGGAATCTGCCACTATGCAGATAAGATCTTGAAGCCAAGCCACACACCCATCTGCAGGCTTTCCATTCTCCTTTGCCAATCAGCTTCAGGTTACATGTCGGGATTCAGATTTATGCACATGGGGGATAAAACAGATATGTGGAAGAAGGCCTTTGGTTCTTCAGGTGTTTCAAGGAGATGAGCACAAGTTAGGATCGGGCGACATGGAGCACTGAAAATGCCTCAAAAGAGAGTATGCCATTTCAATATCAGGATTAACTCTCTAAATATGGTGTTTGGGGATAATAAGCTTTTACACTGCACCAGAAGCATTGGCTCTGAGAAAAACTTAAGCAAAGGCTTACCTGAGCAAAACCAGCTCAAAAACCAGTGATGCGAAGCAATGTTCCCTCTAAGCTGTGGAGTCTTGTGAGCAAAAATTCTACTTTGTGAGCTACTGGTATTGAAGTTGTGAGCAAGCGATTTGGTTACTGCATATATTAGTTTGCTCTGGAGCCATCTTTCCTGAGCTAAGACAAAAATGTGTGAGCCGGAGACTAAAAAACTGTGAGCTAGCTCACACTCACTCAGCTTAGAGGGAACACTGATGCAAAGTGATGATCACTCTATGTTTCAGCTGGTAGTTGTGCGCAGTGGTAAGTGTTAGGTAATGTGGGTGTTGTGTCATGTAGTGGACAGATTGTCAGGCAAGGACTGGAGAGACCCAAATTCCAATCTCTGTTCTGAAACAAACTGGGTGACTGGGGGGGGGGGGCTGTGGTTCAGTGGAAGAGCATCTGCTTTGCATGCGGAAGGCCCCAAGTTCAGTCCCCAGCATCTCCAGTTAAAAGGACCCGTCAAGAGGTGATGTGAAAGACCTCTCTCCGCCTGAGCCCCTGGAGAGCTGCCGCCAAGTCTGAGTAGACAGTACTGACTTTGATGGAACGATGGTCTTAATCAGTATAAGGCAGCTTCATGTGTGACTCTTTTGCACCATAACTGGCCTCACAGGGTCGTTTTGATAAAATGGAGGAGGGGGAGAACCACGTGCACTTCCCAGCGCATCCTAGAGGGGTGGTGGGTAAACGCATAAGTTGATTAAATGTTGTAATTCAAGCATGTTTATACTACCTATAATTTTGATAGTATTTTTAGAGTCTATAATGATAAAATAAATATGTTTTTGGTGCTAATGGGATTACTTTGTAATTGCTTTAAGTAAAATCCTCTGGTGGGTTTTCTCTTTGTTTCACCATAAGAGATGTTGTAATTCACTTGTTGTATTACATATTCAACCACCTTTTCGCTTTTTATTTTACTAAATGGAAAGGTAACAAAAACAGCAAAATGTCCAGAGTGCTTATTATGCTGCCGTTGATGATGAAAATACTTAACTGCATTGTAATTCAGTTCTTTTTTTTAAAAAAAAAGTGCATATCATCCATCAAATGTCTAACAGTGTTCTTGTCGTCACTTGCAAAGCACATAGTTTAATTAAAACTATGATGCACTGACATCCTAGCAAGAAACTCTTCTAGTAACTGTTTCAAATTGCCTCGAGATCTGTACTCTCTCATCTTGGGTTTTTTTTTTAAATTTGAGTTTGGCAATTACTGTACATGCAAAATACCTATTGAAGCCAGTTGGTTCTTGTGGCAGCTTATTAAAGGATGCATTGGAAGATTTCACTTTTCCTGACTGCATCAATTACATTATTATTCCCATGGAAACCAAATAGTTCAAGGTGGGTAGGGATATTAAGTGATTGTACTTAAATATTCTTATGCTGAAGGGTAGCATAAGGTTACGTTTATGTTGGCACCTCCAACAGAGTGATTTGTGTTGAAGAAGAGAAAATCATATTCCAAAGCAAAACGAAGTTGGAAATTTCCTAAATTAAGGTTTAAAATATTACCATGAAAAATACACAGTAGTGCTTTCTAAAATTCCAGCAACATCCCTGAAAATCAGAGACTGTGTTCTCTGTGACATTGGTTCCCAAACATTTTGGTATGGTGATAATAAAGGTGCAAAAATAAAGCTGCGACCCACTTTCACAGGCTTCATAGCCCACTTTTGGGTCAGTGGGGAATCAAACCCAGTTCTCCACATTAGAGTCTGCCGCTCTTAACCACTACACCAAGCTGGCTCTCAGAGTCATAAGCAGTGATTATTTAGATGAGGCTGGTGACTTTTCCCAAGTAGAGTATAGAAATAAGTCTGTGAATGTTTCACCTTAAATCAGATTCAGAAAGACCCCGGTAAAGTCTCATGGCTTAGCAAACTTGAGAAAGCTGGGACTCTCTGTTCGGCAGGGTTGATGCTGCTGTTCTGTGATGCCTTTGATGATCTTGGAAGTCTGTTTGGACCAAAGGCAATGCTATATGTTATGACTGCTGCGAGAAATATTGGTACTGAGTGTGTGCAAGCACCCATCTGGAAAACCTGATTGGCTAACTTTTGCCTCGGAGCACATTCTTACTTTCCTTTCTGAAGCTGACCACCTAAGTACAAAATACACGTGTACCATATTATATTACTTCTTCCAAAAAAATTTTTAAGTGACCTGGGTTGAATTTGGCATGTGTGCATTCCCTTCTTATTTGATAGGGCGTGCATGTTTATTTACTGTGCATATCGAATCAGTAAAAAAGAAAGAAAATTAGCCTTAAGTTCAAAAGAGTTGTCTGTGTTTCTTCAGAGGGAAAAGACAAAGAACATGGAGCTGTTAACAGTGCAGATGAGGAAAAGCTGAAACAAGAATCATGGCAACAGTGCATGTTTGAATTATTTCTGGGATATGTTCTGTTCCCAGATTAATTAATTTAATTTTTATTCTTAAAGAATGGTAAAGAAAAAGTCGAATTTTCTCAAAAGATGAAATGGTTGCCATTTTTTTAAAAACTGTACTTTGTGGGATGGTGAAGTGCTTGCTGATCACCTGGTATTTCTAAATTGACTCCCACATAATCTGATTCCATGATTCTTGGTTTAAGCATTTGGCACAAATTGACTTCCTGTTGGCACCAAAGTCTGTGGTGTTCTGACCAACCTTTGCCTTCTTTTCCTTAGGTATGCTTCAAAAGTGTCCATCAGTTGACGACTTTGTGGATGCCCTTGTTTCAGACTTGGATCAGGACTTTGAAACATTCTTTATGGATTCTGAATAATGCGGAAGTGAATTTTTCAGATGGATGATTTCTTTTTTCCCCTTTTTTTACATATATTATAAATGGTGTACATAGAACTGCCGTAGCTCCCATTGACATCTCTTAAATGAGTGTGGAGATGCTTGTGTATAATAAACAGTGTGTTTTGAGGGAGAAATGCATTTTAATTCAGGGAATCCCAGTTAGGTTTTGAAATAGACACACTGTGGACAAATATAGAGAACGAAGAGATCTGTAGATTAAGGCGGCCAACCGGCTGGGAAGAAATGTCCTGATCGGCTCCTGGGCTTGTAACAGCAGCTGGATATTAGGATGAGATTCCTTCAGCCCTGACCCACGTGGGATTCAGTCTTTCTCTGCCATAGACTCGCTCCAATGAGATCTTCTATTGAATTTCGAGAAACTTCAGGGAGCAAAAGCCAAGTAGTAAAGAGAGCACATTCTTCACCACCACCGAAGAAAAAAATCCTTGTTTCCCCTCATTTTGCAGCATCAATGGACACCAGAGACATCAGGGGAAATTTTTTCAATGTGATTTTGGGGGCACATTTCCATAATTGCAAAATTCAGGAATTCTTGAAAAATCACACCCAGGTATTTATTAAAGTTTCTATGTTTACCAAACATAGGAGGAAAAAACTTAGGTCCCTGGGTATGCATTTCTGCATTTCAGGGACCACTGAAAAAGTGTGCACAAGTCTTCATTACTGCTCTCTAATGTGAAATGAGGAGATTCTCTAGTGCGGTAGTTTAAAATATTGTATTACTGTACCTATCTGCAAAGATTGTCTAAAGGGATATATTTTAGTGTCCTGTCAGACAACCTCCCGATTTTGCGTCTGAGAACCTTAAGAAAGCAGTTTAGAGGAAACCGCTCTCCCCCCTCCCTTGGATCAGGATCCCTCTTGAAATTTCAGCCCCAGTGGCTGCATTTGGCACACAGGGAAAAAAGACTATTAAAAAGGTCATGAAATTACACATATAGTTCTGTATGCACTGCAACTACTGCTCTCTCTTTCCAATCCTTCCAATTTACAATTGCTGCGGGTAGTCCTCCACTATCTCCCCAGGGGGTACCCCAAGTGGCTTACATCACTCTCCCCTCCTCTGTTTTATCCTCACAACAACTCTGTGAGGTAGATTAGACTTGAGTGTGTGTGACTGGCCAACGGTCACCCAGCAAGCTCGCATGGCAGAGTGGGGATTCGAACCCTGGTCTCCCAGATCCTAGTCTGATACTCTGACCGCTACAGCATCCAACCCAGCTGGCGAACAGATAACTGCTGTCTGGATATATCCATAAGCGGGCTAGGCATGAAAAAGAAAATTGAGAATGATTAATGAGGCATAAAAGATTGTGTTGTAAGAAAATGGGAGTTGAAGTTATACTTCTGTGCTTCCCCCCCCCTTGTGGGTTGAACAGTGGTAAGCCAGAAGGTTTACACTGGCTGAGATCTTTTCGTACAAGGAAGAGTCATTCTTTCTTCCTTAGAATTCCCCAGAGCTCTGACTCCCAAGTTTCTGGCTGAAGGCCTTTTACTTAAGAGAGTTCTTTTAGAAGAAGCTTTCTTACACTCTACAAATACATTTTCACGGCTTGTCTTATCCTGGCTCTTTGTCATATTGAAGGATGTGCTTAGGGTGCTCGCTTTTCCATTGTTCTCAGGCCACCCTTAAGCTGCTTTCCTTGTGTGTTTAATTAAAAAGCCTTAGCAGAGATTAAACGGGTCTGCTATGACCACAGTACCAGTACCACCTCCTATAAATAAGATGTGATTTAATTGTTAACATTCTCTTGTGGCCTCAGCGAGGAAAACTCCGATTTTATCGTTTTGTAGGCAGAGCGTTTTTATGAACAGTAAAAGTCACTCTACACTAATTGCTTTGAATTAAGATAACCAATAAAGACTAAGCACAACGAAGATAAACAAAAGGAACTGTTCTGTGCATTAGAATGTTGCCTAGGGCTTCTCCCTGCTCTTGGAAAAACTGGGATCAACCAAATCAAACTTAGATGTGTCGCTTTGTGTCGGGAACACCAGAATTGTTCCTGGTTGCTTCTTGTTTAGATACCTTGTAAACCCAGAAGACACTAATATGTACAGGACATTTTATCAATTGAGATTCCTACACCACTGTGGCTGAAGATGTCTAATGCTGCTTTGGGACAAGCTATGAAAATGTATTTGTAGAGCTCAGATGGTCATTTGTCTTGAGGAATTTTATTTGTTGGGGCACTCACAGCCATAGTTTTCAAAGTATATGACCACAAATAGCTGGGGAAGAGGTAGGTACCCCACCTGTCTCCCCAGAGGAGACCAGAGTGGTTTACATTGTTCTCCTCCCCTCTATTTTATCCTCACCACAACCCTTTGAGGTAGGTTGGCTGAGAGCGTGACTGGCCAAAAATCATCTAGCAAGCTTCTATGGCAAGAGTGGGGATTTGAATCTGGGAATCCCAGATCTCAGTCCAACGTTCTAACCACTACACCACATTGGCCGTGGTGGTCTGCGGCAGTCAAACCAAAGGAGGCACCTTGTGGCACCTTAAGCCGATGGATTAACTGAAGGAGAAGCTTTCGTGAGCTTCAGCAGACGCATCAAGATGTCAAGAGACTAGGATCTCAGCACAAGACACCTTTTGGTTTCAAATATGCCCCTTGTCTGCTTTTTAAACTGGCTCCAACTGTTCAGATGTCTATACAGATTGCCCGTGATTGCTAATATACTAATTGCCTCCGGCAGCCCCCTGGTAGTCCTAAACTTGTGCTTGCTTAGTCGTCTCGGGCAAATAGCTGCATGTGGAAGTCACAGTGTGCAACTTTCCCTTCAGGCTTTTGGTAAGAACATAACATAAGAGACGCCCATGTTGGATCAGGCCAAAGGCCCATCCAGTCCAACACTCTGTGTCACACAGTGGCCAGAAATACCAGTGCCATCAGGAGGTCCACCAGTGGGGCCAGGACATTAGAAGCCCTCCCACTGTTGACCCTCCAAGCACCAAGAAGACAGAGCATCACTTGCCCCAGAGCCCCTATCTATACCTTGTGGCTAATAGCCACTGATGGACCTCTGCTCCATATGCTTATCTAATTCCCTTTTGAAGCCGTCCATGCTTGTAGCCGCCACCACCTCCTGTGGCAGTGATATTAAAACAAATTTTATTAATTTTGTTTAAATATACCACTTTGGGGCCCAACAGGCCAAAAATAGATTTACAATAAAACAAGCAAACCAGTAGAACTGACAATAATAAAACATGCAGGTAATTCGTTAACATGAGAACAATGACTTTATGCCAAAAAAAGACCTAAGAAGTATCAACAATAATACAAAAATATATAAACCATGAATAAGACTAAGGAAGCTGTGTGGATGAAAAACTGTGTACATGCTTCTCTGAGCTCACTAGAAGAAGTGCTTTTTTAAAGTCCCATTTGGTTCTATGCAATAGTTGGGAAGTTGCTCTCATGTTGAAATCAACAGGCCTACAATGCGCTAAAATAAATGCCTTTTTTGTACCAGCATATAGTCCCCATTACTTTGTATGGAAGTGAAAGTTGGCTATGAAGAAAGCTGACAGGAAGAAAATTGATTAATTTGAAATATGGTGTTGGAGGAGAGTTTGTGGATACCTTGGACCACCAAAAAGAAGTAAGTGGGGTGTAGATCAAATCAAGCCTGAATTCTCTCTAGAAGCTGAAATGACTAAACGGGGCTATCGTATGTTGCTCTGTCTTGAGTTGCATCATTAGAAGATAATACTGGAAAAGACAATAATGCTAGACAGAGTTGAAGGTCGCAGGAAAAGAGGAAGACCCGAACATGAGATGGTGACTCAGTCAAGGAAGCCACGGCCCTCGGTTTGCAAGACCTGAGCGAGGCTGTTAATGACAGGATGTTTATGGGAGGTCCTTACTTCAAATGTCGCTATAAGTTGGAAGTGAGCTGGCAGCACATAACGCACACATAATCCATGCGTGAGTTCCAGAAGGAGAATCATTGTGACACTTTCTATGGGAGCCTCAAGGTGTAGTAACTACTTTTACAACATACTTAAAAGCTCCTATAAAGTAAATAATGATATCAGAATAATTGATAGTAGCAGCGGTAAAAGGTGTTTATTGCAAACCAGGTGTTTATATTCAAGCTTATTATGGCCTTTGGAGAAGTATTGTGCAAATAGCTCAAAGGGAGGCTGCTTATATGGTACAGAATATATGGAAAATAATTATGATTACTCAGTTATTCAAGCAACAGTTTTGAGTCTCTCTAACTGGTAATAGTCATGCTCCACCAGGGACTTCAATGAAGAAGTGAAAACAGTGGGGGCCCACCTGGATAGGACAGGTCAGACAAAGGTAGAAGGCTACAAGTGCCTATATACCAATGCCCGTAGTATGGGTAATAAGAAGGAAGAGCTTGAGAGTCTCTTGCAAACAGAGGGCTACTATATAATAGGAATCACTGAGACTTGGTGGGATGATTCTCATGACTGGAATGTTGTAGTGGATGGGTATGAGTTGTTCAAGAAAACAACTGTATGTGAAGAGAGGGCTAGACTGTCGGGAAGTTCTGGAGAATGTGGTTGACAGCCCCGTGGAAAGTATATGGGTGGAAATAAAGGGAGGTAGGACAAAGGGTATTGTTGTTGGAGTCTGCTACAGACCACCCGACCAAGGACAGGAAATGGATGCCACCCTCCTGGAACAGATTGGTAGAGTATCCAGACATCAGAACCTTATAATTATGAGAGACTTCAACTTCCCCAATGTGTGCTGGGAGACAGGCTCAACAAAGCAACAAGAATCACGCAACTTCCTGACCTGTCTGGCTGACAACTTCCTTTTTCAAATGGTGGACGAAGCTACAAGGGGCTTAGCCATACTGGACTTAATATTAACCAACAGGGAAGAGTTGGTATATGGAGAGAAGGTGGTGGGGACCTTAGGGGGAAGTGACCATGTCCTCCTTTCAAAAGACATCTTATTAAACAGAGTTTCTGCCTGAAATGTTGAACAGTTACTATTAGAGTTATGCATAATATTACTCTAGGGCTCCCAGGTTCCCACCTCCTGGCCACCAGCGGGGGATGGGGAGTAGGGTTGCCTGATCCAGGTTGGGAAACTTCTGGAGATTTGGGGATGGAGCCTGGGGAAGTCAGGGACCTCAGTGGGGTACATTTCCAGAGTCCACGCTCCAAAGCATCCATTTTCTCCAGGGAAACTGATCTCTAGTCTGGAGATGATCTGTAATTCTGGGGGATTTCCAGGTGCCACATGGAGGCTGGCATCCCTATATCACTCCCTGATATTCTGTGGTTGGCTCTGCCTTGGGTGGCAGCCATTTTGTGGTCGCTCCCTCTACCCTGTGTCAAAATTTCAAAGATACCCACAGGGTCTACAGTCTTAAGAACTGTATAATTGGGGGGGGGCAGTGATCTTTGGCATAGTAATACAATTGTAAAAAGTATGTCCCCCTCTCTGAAAATGTCAACAGGCATGATAACATTCCTCTCAATTGGGGCTTTTTTTCATTTAAAAACTTCCTTCAGTTACCATTACCTGAACCAGCTGCAAAGTTTGTTGGCAACAATGGTCGAAATCTGGCACAGATTTAAACAGCGGCTTAGCTTTATGTGTTCTGCAAATAGCCTGTTAGAAATTGTATAAATCAAGCAAGCACCTGTATATATTTCTGCCAGTCTCAAAGCAACGGGAATGCTAGTTAGAGAAAGAGTAGACTTTTACTAGGTACAGTAAAATGTCTGTTGCTTTTAACCATTCCATCAGCTGCACATGTTCTGTTCTGAAAATGCCATTAAACATTATCCTTGCTTGCCTCTCTCAGCATGGTTCTCTCTTAACACAACTGGGGCTGTTCCAGTCGGAATGTTCCATATAAAGAAGTATTCCTGTACAGACACAGCCCTGATAACAAAAGCTAGACAATTTTGGCTGCAGTGTTTGGAATATGAGGAGGAAAGGATAGGATGTTATTCGTGAGAGGGATGGGGCATGCAGATTTTAATCTGAGCCCCTCCCACTCGTCACAAGCCACACTACCAGCTGTGTTCCTGAAGGGTGCTGTATGAATTACTCATTTAATTCTGGGATCATAGTGAGCCAGGTCTGTGA